CTTCAGATACTATACTAGCTTATTAGCCACGTTATGAAAGACTTGTGATCATTGCCCTTGCTAGTTTGATTGTATTGACATTTCCAGCCTTAGTTACATTTGTCAGTTTTTGTCCAGAATATTGAGTCATTGAAACTGAAACAGTGCAGCAAACAATGTACCAGGCAGGCCAGCTGTGATTTACAACCTGATAGCAATATTTTATGAATCATGCATTGAACTGTATCCAACTATTGTGCCAACAATGCCTTTGTATACCTCATGGAATGCTTAGTCAAATAGAACCAATTTCTAAAACTTCTCATAAAGTTGGTTTTGAAACATAAACTGGGAATTTGGTATTTTGGGCTGATATGATTGTCTGTTTGTTTCATATCTGCAAAGTAGTTAAAACACTGTCAGTTCCACATTAACAAACTATTCTAATATTGATGTACTGTACATTAACAGACTATTGTAATATTGATGTACTGTACATTAAGAGCCTATTGTAATATTTATGTACTGTACATTAAGAGCCTATTGTAATATTGATGTACTGTACATTAAGAGAATATTGTAATATTGATGTGCTGTACATTAACAGACTATTGTAACATTGATGTACTGTACATTAAGAGACTATTTTAATATTGATGTACTGTACATGAACAGACAATTGTAATAATTATGTACTGTACATTAACAGACTATTGTAATATTGATGTACTGTACATTAACAGACTATTGTAATATTGATGTACTGTACATTAAGAGACTATTGTAATATTGATGTGCTGTACATTAACAGACTATTGTAATATTGATGTACTGTACATTAAGAGACTATTGTAATATTGATGTACTGTACATTAAGATAATATTGTAATATTGATGTACTGTACATTAAGATACTATTGTAATATTGATGTACTGTACATTAAGAGCCTATTGTAATATTGATGTACTGTACATTAAGAGCCTATTGTAATATTGATGTACTGTACATTAACAGACTATTGTAATATTGATGTACTGTACATTAAGATACTATTGTAATATTGATGTACTGTACATTAAGAGCCTATTGTAATATTGATGTACTGTACATTAAGAGCCTATTGTAATATTGATGTACTGTACATTAAGAGACTATTGTAATATTGATGTACTGTACATTAAGAGACTATTGTGCAGTGGTCTAAGGCACTGCATCGCAGTGCTAGCTGTGCCACTAGAGATCCTGGTTCGAATCCAGGCTCTGTCGTAGCCGGCCGCGACCGGGAGACCCATGGGGCGGCGCACAATTGGCCCAGCGTCGTCCAGGGTATGGGAGGGAATGGCCGGCAGGGATGTAGCTCAGTTGGTAGAGCATGGCGTTTGCAACGCCAGGGTTGTGGGTTCGATTCCCACGGGGGGCCAGTATAAAATAAAATACAAAATAATAATAATGTATGCACTAACTGTAAGTCGCTCTGGATAAGAGCGTCTGCTAAATGACTAAAATGTAAATGTAATATTGATGTACTGTACATTAACAGACTATTGTAATATTGATGTACTGTACATTAAGAGAATATTGTAATATTGATGTACTGTACATTAACAGACTATTGTAATATTGATGTACTGTACATTAACAGACTATTGTAATATTGATGTACTGTACATTAACAGACTATTGTAATATTGATGTACTGTACATTAAGAGCCTATTGTAATATTGATGTACTGTACATTAAGAGACTATTGTAATATTGATGTACTGTACATTAACATACTATTGTAATATTGATGTACTGTACATTAACAGACTATTGTAATATTGATGTACTGTACTTAAGACTATGTATATTGATGTACTGTACTTAAAGCCTATTGTAATATTGATGTACTGTACATTAACAGCCTATTGTAATATTGATGTACTGTACATTAACAGACTATTGTAATATTGATGTACTGTACATTAACAGACTATTGTAATATTGATGTACTGTACATTAACAGACTATTGTAATATTGATGTACTGTACATTAACATACTATTGTAAGATTGATGTACTCTACATTAACAGACTATTGTAATATTGATGTACTGTACATTAACATACTTTTGTAATATTGATGTACTGTACATTAACAGACTATTGTAATATTGATGTACTGTACATTAAGAGCCTATTGTAATACTGATGTACTGGACATTAACAGACTATTGTAATATCGATGTACTGTACATTAACTGACTATTGTAATATCGATGTACTGTACATTAACAGACTATTGTAATATTGATGTACTGTACATTAAGAGACTATTGTAATATTGATGTACTGTACATTCACAGACTATTGTAATATTGATGTACTGTACATTAACAGACGTTTGTAATATTGATGTACTGTACATTAACAGACTATTGTAATATTGATGGACTGTACATTAACAGACTATTGTAATATTGATGTACTGTACATTAACAGACTATTGTAATATTGATGGTGTTGCATGGTAACTGTTATCATCTACAAATGGACATTTGCCTGGAAGACAACTTACACAATGAAGAGAGTATTTGTGTGTGTGTGTGTGTGTGTGTGTGTGTGTGTGTGTGTGTGTGTGTATCCCTGGACTTGCCACGGCTGACATCCAAATCCTTCAAATGATACGCTCACGCAAATCATTTTTTCAAAACAAAGTTCAGTATTTATTCTTTATATTTTGTTGCATCTTTTCTTCCACAATGAAAAAGATGACAGCAAAAGACAACTCAATCTCCTCACACAGTCAAGTAGATAACAAAATATTGTTTTCTCACACATACACTCACTCTCACACTCGGTCAAGCAGACCGGTTTAATTTACAGTACAGTCATTGGGTAAAATGGTATGACTGGGGCTTTGGTCGTCTGAAAGTGACCTGACTGTCATGGCCACAGAAGAGCACCGAGGCCCAGTTTGACCTCACCCTAATGGCTGACATATATGTATGGACACAGTGTTACTACAGCATAACAGAACAGAACACAAACCAATCCCTGGACTCTCTTATTAGTGAACAGCGTATTGTTGAGTCCATAGAATCCTATTTATATGGTTGACTCACATGTATTGAAAGGCTGTGTCTCAAGGGGCACCCTACTCCCAATTTAGTGCTCTACTTTTGACCGGGGTCCATGCAGGCCAGTCCAGGCCAGTCATCACATGTGCCATTCTGTGTCTCTTTCTGTTCCAGTTCTAGATCTCTTCTTAGGTTCTATTCAGATCAGTTTCTGATTGATTCTTCTGAGTTGAACTAAATTGATTATTAGACTGGAGATGTTGGGGTGGGTATGGTAGACAGTATTGGGGTGCTGGGTTGAACAAATATGGTTTTTTGTTTACTGATCATCTAGCTAAGTTGTTTGGCTAAATGACTGACTAGCAGTCCTTGGCTCCATCTGAAATGACACCCTATTCTCTATGGAGTGCAGTGTCAAAAGTAGTGCACTACTTTCACCTTCCAAAGAAGTGTGAGTATTCCAAGAGAGAGAACAAATAACTTAAAGAGATCAAGTATTGACCAAGTAAAATCTGTTTGAAATACAACAACTGTTGCCCCCAAAGAAAAGTCTCACAAACATTATTCAGAATCACAATAGCTCTTTTTATCTCTCATACTGGTCATTCACTGGTCTCGTCACGCATTCAGTCAATGACATCACAAACAAACAGTGATAGCTAATCAGAACAGAAACTGATGCTGCCAGACAGGAAGCATCCTTTCCCTGTGGCTTCTATGGTGATGATGTCATATTTACAGGACATGAAGTCATACAAAGACTGAACCTGAATACCTGAAGTGATTGCTTGTCTCTCCTATTCAGTGTCTCATGGTCAAGGGCCAGCACTGTCGCTTTCTCTAGCTCGCTCTCTCTTTCTTTCATTCTTTCTTTCAATGTGTCTCACATTCCATTGCTTTATTTATATTCCCTGCCCTGTCCTTGCTCCCTCTCTTCCGTTCTCTTTATTGTTGAGAATCTCAACAACCCTCTCTCCCACGCTTCTCTACCTCTCTCTCTGTCCTCTAGCTTCTCTACCTCTCTCTCTGTCCTCTAGCTTCTTCCTTTGGTAACTCACCACTCTCTCTGTCTCTCTGTCTCTCTACCTTTACGTATCTCTCTACATATCCTCTCTCTATCTTTACATATCTCTCTACATATCCTCTCTCTCTGTCTCTATCTTTACATATCTCTCTACATATCTTCTCTCACCTTCTCGTATGCTGGTGACTGCCTCTCTTTCATTCTTTCATCCCTTCTTTCTCTCTCTCCTTAGCTATTTTTCTGTAAACAATCCATTATAAAGTAGGCATCGTGGTAGACAACAAATAAGACGGATATCCCAACTGCTCTGCACCATCAAGTACACCAACCTATTTACAGTATAACTGTCAGAGTTAGTACAACAGTAGTGGCAGGAATGTAGTAACTGTCATAACTGTAATCATAGCACTCGTAGTAGCAGAAGCAGTCGTAATAGTAGAAATAGTAGTAGTAGTAACATGTATATAATAGTCGTAGCACTTGTAGTTCTAATATTCCTCAAAGTGACAACAGTTACAGCATTCGCAACAGTAAGTAGCGCTGGTATTAGCTGTAGAGCGTTACAGGTGTCCGCTGACCCCTGATTGCAGGCGTCGTCACGGCAACCAACACACCAGACAGGCGAGGTGCACCTGTTCTAGTAACAGCCTTGGTTGTCTACTGTACTGTACTGTATTATACTATGTACAATATTGTACTGTGTACTGTCAGCCATTGTTGTTTAGCCCTGCATTAAGTTAGAAGTCACAATCTAACCCCCCCCCCCCTTTGTATCCCCTGCTGTCCTGTACTACTGATAGAGATAGACATTATCCAGTAGGACATCAGAGGGTTAACTAGGGAGGTACAGAGTCTTTAACAAGGGGTTCCCCCATGCCCTGAGAGGGGCCGGGCGAAGAGAGGAATGGGGGTGGGTACTTAAAGTCTGATTCAGCCAAATATGAGGTGTAGATTGATGGAGACGGCGAGTAGCGAGAGGGCGAGGAGGAGTGAGAGAGAGGGGGATGAGGTGGAGGAGGAGTTGGGAGGGAGGCCATCGAAGTCGGGCGGACACTCGAGCTCGAAGCATCGCAGCGTGGTGCCGGCGTCCTCGTTCCCGTAGTTCGCCCAGTACTCCTCGGCGTCGAGTTTGGGTAGCGCTGCCTCTTCCTCGCCGAGCTCGTACTTGACATTGGTGGAGGTCACGATGGGTGGGTTGTTCTTTCCTTGGGGGAACGGGAAGGCCTTGATGGTCTCGGAGCTCTTCTCGAACACTGCCTTGGTCTGGGACTGGGGCTTGTGCTTGGAGAACCACCATCTTGTCTTGGTGCTGAAGGTCCTCGTGGTGGAGCCGGCCAGGGTGCCGGGGTCGGGGAGAGGGCAGAGGGCGAAGTCCATCTCACGGAGGAAGCGGAGGTCCATCCCGCGGCGGGGGGAAGGGGAGGCACACAACAGCTCGGACGATGAGACGCGGGCGCCACGGAACCACTCCCACAGGGGGAGGGCCTCGCAGCCACAGGACCAGGGGTTCCCATTGAGACGGAGGAACTCGATGCCCTGGGTGTCACGAAGTGCCTGCCCGGGGAGCTCAGCCAATGAGTTGTTGAACAGGAAGAGCATGGTGAGGCGTCCGAGGTCGCGGAACGCCCGGCGGTTAACCTGGCGCACACGGTTGTCGTGGAGAAGAAGGCGGTCCAGGTTGACCAGGCCACGGAACACGTTCTCGGACAGAGTGCGGATACGGTTGCCATGCAGGAAGAGCTGGCTCAGGTTGATGAGGTCAGAGAAGAGGTCATCCTGGAGGAAGTGGAGCTGGTTCTCCTACAAGGAGGAAACAGGAAGAGGAAGTGGTCAGGTGGGGTCAGGTGATAATGGGCTACATCTCAGTAGTGGTGAGGTGATAAACATTACACCTTCCACTGAAAGGGCATCTCATAACTATCACTGATGCAGCATGATTTGTATCATGATACATCATGATGTAATTGTGATTGTGATGATATAAAATGATGTAATTTTCACAGTCCTATGAGAATTCCCTGTAGTGTGTGTGTATGTGTGTGCGTGTGTATACATGTGTCCCGATGCGTGCCTGTGTGCGTTAATATATCTGTACTGCCCCTACCTGCAGGTAGAGGAACTGCAGGCTGTAGAGCTTGTGGAACAGGTCATGGGGCAGGGCGGTAAGCTTGCAGCGGTGCATGTGGAGACTCTGGAGTTTCTCCAGGCCCCTGAAGGCACCTCCTTCCAGCCTGCGCAAGTGAGAGTTGTCCCCCAGGTCCAGCTCCTCTAGGTCCCTCAGCTCACTGAAGGAGCCAGCCTCAATCCACGTGATGTTGTTGGAGAACAGCCACAGGACCTATAGGGGAGAGGGAGGGAGGGGAGGAGGGAGAGTGTGAATATCAATATGTATTCTAGGGTCAGGTATTATTCTATGGTAATATTGTAGGTAAGGCAATGCACTCAAACTCAAAAAGAAAAAAATGATTGAGAGCAAAGAGAGAGAGAGAGAGGTCAAAAGAAGCACACACCATGTCTCATTTAAACACTCTATAGTCTCTTACCTGAGTCCCGAAGCCGAAAGAGCCGACTCTGAGCTCCGTGATTCGGTTGTTCTGTAGGAACACGCGCTGCGAGTCGTAGGGCACGCCCACGGGCACGGAGGTGAAGTTCTGCGCCTGGCAGCTCACGGTCATGGGAGTCGGGTAGCACACGCACAGATGCGGGCACGCCGCCGACGGACCGGGCTTGCCTAGGACCAGCCACACCACCAGCCACAGGGAGAGGCCGCCTGGGAGAGAGAGGGAAGCGGGGAGAAGTGAGTCTAGATGCGGGGTCGGGAAGGCGAAGCTAGCGGGAGCTGTCTGGTAGATGTGGTTCTGAAACTGTTTGCTGGCGGCCCGGATGGCAAACTGCTGCTGGAAATGTGGCAGTTGAATCTCAATACAGCTGATCACAGTCAAAACTCAGATCACAATCAAAGCGTTGCTTATGTACCAAATCAATACATTTCTTTTTTGGATGCAGCAATAGCTTTTTCTCCCCAACATCAGTTTAAATTGTCAGGTTTGAATGCGGAGAAATGACGAAAAGTTAGCTGGAGCTGTCCAGTAACAAGGGTGCTGAAACTGTTGACGCAGACACTCAATTGCCGCAATAAACCACATTGCTACCTTCAGTTGATGCAAAAATACTTTATGTAAAGCCTTTGTCTAATCTGAATACCTCAAATGTATCATTTTGAGATTGTTGGAAATATTCGCAAAATATCATCATATTGATGGAATGAGATTGCAATTTGAATACTGATTAAATAATTAACTCTCAATTTAGACAATATAAAGCTCAGTTAATTCTTAATCAGTAAAGATTACAGCATCAAGAGCTCATATGATGACAGAGATGACGTATGATCACTTTAGAAGGCGTGATTGAGTAACCAAGTCTGTGCGTAAAACTGCGTTTCTCTCTTTGCCTGCGTAAGACATTACGCACAGCAGTATCTCAAAGTAAACCCAAGCAAATCGTATCTAAAACTTTTACAAACATATGACAAGTCTAAGATAAGTTCCATATCTTACACTGGCGATATCTATCTATTGAATAGTTGCAAAGTAGGCCTACATCATAAAGTAAAATCAAAGTACAATCATAACAAAATTGCAAGTGTAAAATGTCCCATACTAAATCTATTTTACAAACGTATTGGAATTACAATCCATGTTCATAGAAAAAATAAGCTATTACTGTCTCTAACATGGCTGCAAAGCACACATTTTGTTTTGATATTATCTGTGAATCATGCATTCCATTGCTAACTGGGTGAATGATTCCCAAACTATCAAATAAGATACTTTCTCAAAATCATAGTAGCCTAACTAATGCACAACGCCTCTTACACTATTACATCATCAGACAAGTAGAATATAACGGGAAACCGTTAGAAAAGTGGTAGAAATAGGTCAAGTGGAGGAATGAGTCTCAAAACTATCAAGTAAGATACTTTCCAAAAGTCATAGTAACTAATGCACAACAGTATAAACCAATAGATGGTGGTAAGAAAAGCCGTATAAACTTACTTTTGCAGTTGCGCATGAATGAGCATCGTCTGCTCCGAGCGGTTGTAGGGGTGTCCATTTCAAACCAAAGCCGAAAGCGAGTTAGCCTGAGAGGGTGAAATACTGCCTGCTATCTCCGCTGACTGGTGCTCTGGACGATTGGTTCCCGAGTCGGAGCGACTGAGAGAGTACCGAATGTTGGGTCCCGGTGTCCCATTTATACTCGAGAATCCCGTTAGCGCCTACGGTTGTGGGCACCACGGAATCCCCTACGTCACGGCCAGGTCATGATCGAGGGGGGGGGGGAAGAAGAAAAAAAACGGAAAGAGGAGGGCCGTGCACCGTGCGTCGGACATCGGGCGGGTGGGTGACGAGAGGATTCTTGGAGAGAGCGCGCGCGCAACCGCAGATAGCCTAGACAGCGCTCCAAGATAGAGAAGGAGGAGATTCAGACAGACTCACGCGGAAGGGAGGGATGATGTGAGTGAGTGAGAGGAAGGGAGGGAGGTATGGAGGCACGGTGCCCGGTAATGACTGCGCTTTGTGGAGGAGCGGAGGACGGGTAGAGAGAGCAGCACGAGGTTCGCTTCCTGGCTCGCGATCAGAAGCAGCTATGGTCTGTTTCCGGGCGGCACCGGCACGCCTCAGAGAGAGGGGTAATAGAGAGATGAATGGATATGGAGAGAAGAGAAGGAAGAGAGAGGAAAGGAGATCAGTGGAAAGGGGGGGGGGGGGGGGGGCATTTACATACTGCCAAAGGGAGGTTGTCACACAGACATTTATGAATTAATAATTCTACTTCGCCTATTAGGAGAGTGGAGACCTAGTAAATAAAACCCACGGGACAAGGGCGCACAGCACACTCATATGTACCCAAATAGTTGTTGACATGGGACATGAGTCGGGAATGAATGAGTAGTTATTATGAGTGGGACACATTCAGGTTATGAGATACAGATGGACTTTGGAAAGTGAAGGTGAGGGTTCTAACGATATAATTGGGATTATCATTCTATGGTTCCAATTGGCTAACTGGTAGAACTCCGAACATTTTGGTGTCATTTAGTTTTGGTGGAATTGGTCTGGCCAGCGTAGTGTTATGCTCATTTGGTGCTGTATACTTTCAAGCCAACTCAATGACAACCCCTGTAGACTGACTTGCTTTGCTCCCTAGGCTTTAGTTCAGCGGGCTAACACAGTCTTGTGGTGCACAGGAGACCCAGTCAGCTACATACAGACAGACACATAAAGAGACAGACAGGTTTTAGCTCAGCGGGCTAGCTCAGTCTTGTGACATACAGGGGACCCGGATTCCCCTGCCTCTCCCACACTATCAGCTGAGTGCGTTAGTTCCCTAGGCTTTAAAGGAACAGCCAGTTAAACAGATAAAGGAAAAGCCAGTTAAACAGATAAAGGAACAGCAAGTTAATCATATAAAGGAACAGTCAGTAAATCAGATAAAGGAACAGACAGTTAAACAGATAAAGGAACAGCAAGTTAATCAGTTAAAGATAAAGGAACACCCAGTTAATCAAATAAAGGAACAGTCAGTTAATCAGATAAAGGAACAGCCAGTTAAACAGATAAAGGAACAGCAAGTTAATCAGATAAAGGAACAGTCAGTTAATCAGATAAAGGAACAGCAAGTTAATCAGATAAAGGAACAGCCAGTTAATCAGATAAAGGAACAGCAAGTTAATCAGATAAAGGAACAGTCAGTTAATCAGATAAAGGAACAGCCAGTTAATCAGATAAAGGAACAGCAAGTTAATCAGATAAAGGAACAGCAAGTTAATCAGATAAAGGAACAGTCAGTTAATCAGATAAAGGAACCAGCAAGTAATCAGATACAGGAACAGTCAGTTAAATCCGATAAAAGGAACAGTCAGTAAACATATAAAGGAACAGAGAGTATCAGATAAAGGAACAGTCCAGTTCAATCAGATAAAGGAACAGCAGTTAATCAAATAAAAGGAACAGTCAGTTTTAATCAGATAAAGGAAAACAGCAAACGTTAATAAAATAAAGGAACAGAAGTTAAATTCGATGATAAAGAAACAGCAAGTTATCAGATAAAAGAAACAGCAAGTTAATCAGATAAGGAACAGTCGTTAATCAGAATTATAAACAGGAACAGTCAGTTAATAAAGATAAAGGAACAGCAAGTTAATTCAAATAAAGGAACAGTTCAGTTAATCAGATAAAGGAACAGTCAGTTACAAACAGATATAAAGGACAGCATGTTAATCAGTAAAGGGAACAGTCGTTTAATAGATTAAATAAGGAACAGCAAGTTAATCAAATAAAGGAAAAGCCAGTTAATCAGATAAAGGAACAGCCAGTTATTCCAATGCCTTACCCCCTCCATAAGGAATTCTAACAGCAGGTAATATCACTTGATAAAAGGAACAGCCAGGTTCACAGATAAAGGAACAGCCAGTTAATCAGATCAAGAAACAGGCAAAGTTAATCAGATAAGAACACGCAGTTAATCAGATAAAGAAACAGCCAGTTAATCAGATAAAGGAACAGCCAGTTAATCAGATAAAGAAACAGCCAGTTAATCAGATAAAGAAACAGCAAGTTAATCAGATAAAGAAACAGCCAGTTAATCAGATAAAGGAACAGCCATTTAATCAGTAAAGGAACAGACAGTTAATCGATAAGAAAACGCCAGTTAATCAGATAAAGATAAACAGCAAGTTACTAGATAAAGGAACAGCCAGTTAATCCGATTAAAGGAGGAACAGCCAGTTAATCAGATAAAAGAAAACAGACAGTTAATCAAATAAAGGAACAGCAAGTTAATAAGATAAAGAAAAGCCAAGTTAATCAGATAAAGGAACAGCCAGTTATCGATAAAAGAACAGCAGTTAATCAGATAAAGGAACAGCCAGTAATAGATAAAGAAACAGGCCAGTAACAAATAAAGAACCATCAGTGAATCAGTAAAGGAACAGCCAGTTAATCGATAAAGGAAACAGCCAGTTAATCAGATCAAGGAACAGCAAGTTAATAGATTAAAAGAGGAGCAACAGCAAGTAATCAGATAAAGGACCAGCCAGTTAATCAGAGAAAGGGAACAGCCAGTTAATCAGATAAAAGAAAAGAAAGCAAGTTAATCAGATAAAGAAACAGCAGTTAATAGCTAAAGAAACGCAGTTATCAGATAAAGGAAAGGCAGGGTAATCAGATAAAGGGACAGCAGTAATCAGATAAAGAAACAGCCAGTTAATCAGATAAAGAAGAAACAGGCAGTTAATCAGATTAAGGAACAGGCCAGTTAATCAGCATAAAGGAACAGCCAGTAATCAGATAAAGAAACAGCCCGGTTAATCAGAAAGGAACACACCCGCAAGTTTAAATCAGATAAGGAAACAGCCCAGTTAATCAGATAAAGGAACAGCCAGTTAACAGATTAAAGGAACAGCAGTTAATAAAATAAAGGAACCGCAAGTAATCGTAAAGAAAACGCAAGTAATCAGATTAAAAGAAAATAGCAAGTGAATCAGATAAAGGAACAGTCAGGTAAATCAGATAAAGGAAACAGTCAGTTAATCAGATAAAGGAAAACCAGCAAAGTTAATCAAATAAAGGAAAACAGTCAGTTAATCAGATAAAGGGAACAGTCAGTTAAACAGATAAAGGAAAGCAAAAGAGTAATCAGATAAAGGAGAAACGTCAGTACTCAGATAAAGGAACGAGCAAGTTAATCAAATAAGAACAGCCAGTTAATCAGATAAAGGAACGCCAGTTTCAGATAAAAGGAACAGCCAGTTAATTCAGATAAAGGATACAGCAGTTAAACAGATAAAGGAAACCGTCAGTTAAACAGATAAGTAACCATCAGTTAATCAGATAAAGGAACAGGAACAGCCAGTTAATCAGATAAAGGAAACATCCAGGTATCAGGATTCAAGAAAAACAGCAAGGTTAATCAGATAAAGAAACAGCAAGTTAATTTAAGATCAATGAACAGCCAGTTAATCAGATAAAGGAACAGCCAGTATCAGATAAAGAAACAGCAGTTAATCAGATAAAGAATAGACAGCAAGTTTAATCAGATAAAGAAAACAGACAGTTAATTCAGGATAAAGGAACAAGCCAGTTAATTCAGATAAAGAACAGCAGTTAATAGATAAAGAAACAGCCAGTAATCAGATAAAGAAAAAACAAGCAAAGTTAATAAGATAAAGGAACAGCCAGTTAATCAGATTAAAGGAACAGCCAGTTAATCAGATAAAGAAACAGCCCGTTAATCAATAAGGAACCATCAGTAATCAGGATAAGGAAAGGCCAGTTAATCAGATAAAGGAACAGCCAGTTAAATCAGACAAGAAACGCAAAGCGTATTAATCAGATAAGAAACAGCAAGTTATTAATATCAGATAAGGAACAGCCCAGTTAATCAGATAAAGGAAACAGCCAGTTATAAGCTAAGAAACAGCCAGTTACTCAAATAAAGGAACAGGCAAGTTACATCAGATTTTTTTAAAAGAAACAGCCAGTAATCAGATAAAGGAACAGCCAAGTTAATCAGCTAAAGGAACAAGCAGTTAATCGAAAAGGAAACAGCACAGTTTAATCAGATAAAGAAACAGCAAGTGAAATCAGATAAAGGAACAGCATGTTAATCAGAATAAAGACAGCCAGTTAATCCGAGATAAAGAAGAAACAGCCAGTTAATCAATAAGGAACAGGAAGTTAATCAGCTAAAGAAACAGCCAGTTAATCGATAAAGGACCAGCAGTTAATCAGTAAAGGTAACAGCCCACCGTTACATCAGAGAAAGGACCTGACACAGCCACGGTACGGTATGTCAGATATAGTTAAAACAGCCATTAATGTCAAATAAACGGAACAGCGAAGTAATCACGCTAAAGACATGAATAACGAATACAGCACAGTTTAATCATTGGATAAAGAATCACAGCCATTGTTAATCAGATAACGAAACAGCAAGTAATTCACCCCTTGATAAAGAAAAGCAAGTTAATCAGATAAAGTAACAGCACAGTATAATCAGGATAAAGGAAAGCCCAGTTAATTTTCCCAGTAGAACAGACAGTTCATCAGATAATAGGAACAGAACCCCACGTTAATCAGATAAAGGAACAGCAAGTTATGCAGATTTTATAGAAACAGACAGTTAATCAGATAAAGAACAGCCCAAGTTAATCAGAAAGGAAACAGCCAGTTAATCAGATAAAGAAACAGCAAGTTAATCAGATAAAGAAACAGCAAGTTAATCAGATAAAGGAACAGCCAGTTAATCAGATAAAGGAACAGCCAGTTAATCAGATAAAGAAACAGCCAGTTAATCAAATAAAGGAACAGCAAGTTAATCAGATAAAGAAACAGCCAGTTAATCAGATAAAGGAACAGCCAGTTAATCAGATAAAGGAACAGCCAGTTAATCAGATAAAGGAACAGCCAGTTAATCAGATTACAAAGAAGAAAAAGGCCAGTTAATCAATAAAGAAACAGGAAGTAATCAGATAAAGAAACAGCCAGTTATCAATAAAGAAACACAGCCAGTTACACAGATATAAAGAAACAGCAAGTTAATCAGATAAAGAAAAACAGAGCAAGTAATCAGATAAAGAAAACGCAAGTAATCAGATTAAAGGAACAGCCAGTTA